CAGCATATGCCAGCTGATGCCACCGCACCACCCCACTTACACCCTCAGCCATCAGTGTCTAAGTGCGGTTTAAAATTGGAAGTGGGCACCGGCACCCGGGAGGAGGCTGAGATATCCCCCTGCCAAATGCCGTTGAATGTGCTCACTCCCAAGGCCCTATGTGTGTGTTTGTGTGGAATGTCATCAGTGGAAGTGTATAAGGTGCAAATAAAATTGGGGGGCAGGTTTTCACAGGAATACAGAAATGGGGTCCATACCCGCACTCCCTGACTTGCCCACCCCCCAAGGTCCTATGTGTATGTTTGTGTGATGATGTGAGGGAGCAGGAGGAGAGAAATATGCGGGGATGGGGAGGAATGGCTGGTTGGGCTTAGCCCTCCAGGGAGCCAGCTCCCCTACTGGCCCCAATAGGCACCTCTGTTGTCAAACTGCCACCCAGGGCATGGAGACCCCAGCCCATCCTGCCAGGGCCCCAAGCAGCAGCATCACAGAGCCTCACGGAGTCCAAGGGCACCAACCCAGCCCCACCCCAGCAGAATATCTATGCCCACCCCTGCATTTGCACAACTTCCAGAATATAAAAGACATGGGACATCCAGGTAAGGTTGGGTCCTCCCCCTCCTGGACCTCCCCCTCCCCTGTGATGGAACGGCAGAGGAGCCAAGGCCTACCTGAGGCCCCCGAACCCGGGCCCTTGTTTTTCCACCTTGCCACACATGGTTATTAGTCAAACAGTCACTGCGCTGGGTTTGTTAGTTTTAATGGCGAGGGCACAGAAATCGAGCTGTGACACTAAACACACCCAAATGTGATGACATCGTTAAACTGTTGCACTGTGGGAAAATTTGCATTCTGGGAAATGTAGTAGGTGTGATTTTGACAAAGAGGTTTTTTGCCAATAGCATATTTATGGGGACTGAAAATGCTAAGACACGTAAAAGCACCCTTCTCCTGACCGAGCCAGTCGATTTGATGTAAGATTTGTGGGGGTGGAGGCTTTCATTAGAGCTGCATTAGTATATACGGAATAATAATAATAATAATAAAGAGACCATTTGGTCGATGCATCACAGTAAGGGCTCTGCCTGCTCAGCAAGCCCCTTAGAGAATTCCTGAAGAAGGTTTGAAGAGGCCTTCCAACTGGGGCATCAGATTGTAGGGTGTAGAAAAACCGCATTAAAATACTCTGTTGTGTCATTATGAACCAGATAGAAGTGTGTTCAAAATAGAGAAAAATACACTTGGAATTCATATTTCCATGTTTTTCTTAACCAACACTGAAATCTGTCTAGCAATGTAATTCTCAGAAGGGTTCTAGGGTTCTTTGCTTATTCAGGGACCATAAACACACATCATATTATGTCAGACAGAGCCAAGTATAGGTTATAAAAATGAATTTAATTATTTTTCCTAAACTAATGATTATACTTGACAAGACATTAATAATGAGATGTGATGTAATAGATATGAAGTGATTTAATGTGATGTGTGAAATGTTGTAATGGAAGCTAGATGTTTTAGCAAAATTATTCTTTGCATCTGAGAGAATTTGTGAAGTCTGGGTTGTAAAAGAATTTAGATGTTTTTTGGTGAGCTAATGATTGTTTATAAAAGTCATCCGATGCAGTCTGTTGAGTCTACAGTACCCTTTGTGTAGAGACCCCCAGCAGTTCCAGATGGTCACAAGTCAGGATGGGCATCAACCTCAAGGTACCCGGAGCCCGTAGATTAGCTCCGATATGACCCGTTTAGTCTTGAGATATCTCCAGGTCACAACAATAAGCTAGAATGCTTGTTTACATCCAAGGTTGTTGTTTGGCCGTTTAGTGGCTGTGTCAGTTTGCAGCGTGCAAAGAGACTTTTGACTGGATGTCAAAAGTGATGGCTTCAAAAATGCTTGTTCCCAAATTGGCCAGTTTGAGAGTCAGCTACAAACTGAATTAATCGGGAAGTAATTCTTGTTTTATTGAACTCATTGTTTATAAATTCTAGCACAATCTGACAAATCAGAATGTGACATGTTTGAGGGTTTTACCAGACATTCCTCAGAAAGCCACGCCTTCTTCAGATATAAAGATGGTAGACACTTTATGAATGACAATGTTTTAAAACACTTATGTGAAATAAATATTAACATTAATAAGCATCTTATTGCAATGTGTATGAGTGTAGATATCGATTAACTTGTTAAATCAATTAACCTTAAAGAACTGAGCAGAACTTTCTGGATTTGGATGCCAGACAGATATTGGGTTTACGTCTGCAATTGAAAAGTTATCTTGTGGTCAATTAGATGGCAAAGATTTTAACCGTTGGATACATAACACTTGCATAAAAAAATACCAAAACCAGCTTTTTCCCCAAAAGCAACTAAACCCAAGCTCAAAAATAGAAGAATAAAAAGAAAGAAAATACTAAAAGAAACTAAAAAACAGTAAAAGGACAACCTACACGGTAAAACAGTATGAGTCATAGCTTAAACACTAACCCTCCAAATCAAAGTGCTAAAGCTATACCTCTAGTCAAAGCAGCCACTGTATATGTGCCCTCGTTCATGTAGGTCTGACCACGCTGATACTTATTAAGGTAAATAAAGAACATTCTAATGAAAACCAAGATAACAGCTCCTGTCCCACACAACATCAGCAAAGCACTTACTTCTACTACTACTGGGCGACGGTGGCACAGGAGTTAAGTGCTCGCCCCGTAATCGGAAGGTTGCAGGTTTGAGCCCCGCTCAGTCTGTCACTGTCGGTGTGTCCTTGAGAAGACACTTAACCCACGTTGCCTGCTGGTGGTGGTCCGAGGGACTGGTGGCGCCAGTGCTCAGCAGCCTCGCCTCTGTCAGTGCGCCCCAGGGCAGCTGTGGCTACATCGTAGCTCATCCCCACCAGAGTGTGAATGGGTGAATGACTGATAGTGTTGTAAAGCGCCTTGGGGGGTTCCAGGACTCTAGAAGGCACTATATCAAATACAGGCCATTTACCATTTTACTACAGTCTCGGCTCCAGCCCATACAGCATGGAGAGAACTCCGGCATTACCAACTGTAGTTCTCCCTTCCTCATATAGCGTTTACCTGAGTGAGTCAGCTAATTCGACTTGCTATGCACCCTTCTTATAAGGACACAACTTCCGGGAGCTAATGAGACCCGGTTACATTTAGATCTTCTAAATTGAGCAAAACTCTTCTAAAAGCACCCTGAAGTCTATCTCCTTGGTCAAACTTACTACTAGGCAGAGGTAGGTGATTGCCTTGTTCCCAAACACTTTCAGGACCTTGTGATGAACTAACCCTCACCCTGACCCTTCACATGAATGCTTAAATCCATGTTTTGTTTCAAAATGAATTTCTGAAAGATATCAGACTGCCTTATGCCAAAGGGTTTGAATGTCCTCTGTTGCCCAGCTATGTGGGACTCTTACATGACTACAGCAAAATAAGTGAAAGGCTGTCAAGCAAGTTTGTTGTGAAAATAATAAAAACAGTTATATTATAACATCTCATATAGACTACTGCAATAGTCTTTTCTTGGGTATTAATCATAGATGTACTGCTAGGCTGCAGCTAGTTCAGAATGCTGCAGCTCATCTCCTGACTGGCACATGTAAGTTTGATCAAATGACTCCAGTTGCTGCCTGTCTGCATTGGATCCCAGTTAAGTTGGGTCTTCAGTTTAAGATTTTGGTTTTAGCTTACAAATGTTTGAATGGACTTGCTCCTAGCTATTGATTTTAACTCCTCATGCTAGATACTCCATCTCGTGGACTGCGTTCGGCTGACCAGGATAGGGTGAGTGTACCTTGGGAAAGGCTACAGAAAGGAGGTTTTAGGTCTTTCTCAGCGGCAGCACCAACTCTGTGGAATATGTTGTCTATCTCCATAACAATAATAATTATTATAATTGTAATAATAATTATAATGATGATGATAACAACAGCAATAATAATAATGATAATGATGATTATGATAATAATGATAGCATTAATAATGATTATGGTGATGATGATAATAATAATATTAAATGGTAAATGGCCTGTATTTGATATAGCGCCTTCTAGAGTCCTGGAACCCCCCAAGGCGCTTTACAACACAATCAGTCATTCACCCATTCACACACACATTCACACACCTGTGGTGATGAGCTACAATGTAGCCACAGCTGCCCTGGGGCGCACAGACAGAGGCGAGGCTGCCGAGCACTGGCGCCACCGGTCCCTCCGACCACCACCAGCAGGCAACGTGGGTTAAGTGTCTTGCCCAAGGACACGACGACAGTGACAGACTGAGCAGGACTCGAACCTGCAACCTTCCGATTACGGGGTGAGCGCTTAACTCCTGTGCCACCATCGCCCCAAATAATAATAATAATAATAATAATAATAATAAAGGTGATGATGATCATAATGATAGTGATAATAATAGTGATGATGATGATAATAACAATAATATTAATAAAAATAAAGATAATGATGATGACCATGGGCTGCATGGTGGCGCAGTTGTTAGCACTGTTGCCTCGCAGCAAGAAGGTTGCAGGTTCTAAACTCGGCTCGGCTGCGGCCTTTCTGCGTGGAGTTGCGTGTTCTCCCCATGCATGCGTGGGTTTCCTCCGGGTTCTCCGGTTCCCCCTACAGATCACAACATGCCCTATAAGTGAAAAATTGTACGTCGCTTTGGTTAAAAGCGTCTGCCAAATAAAAAAAGCATAAACATGATGATGATGATGATGATAATAATAATGATAATAATAATAATGATAATGATGATGATGATGATTATGAGTCTGCTGATGCTGGTCCTGGATCTGTTCAAACTGGAGGAAAGCTACTGCTGCTCCTTCCTCTCTCCTGTTCTCTCTGCTCCTCCCGCTGCAGCTGCGGTGATGGAAACCAGATTAAAAAGCCGGTGTGGACGCGGTGGGACTTGAAGCCCTGGATTTTTTATTATTATTCACCAGATCGCTTTCCTGTGTGTTTGTGTGTGTGTTTCCCATGCAGCTCCTCTCTGCTGGGATCCTGGTCTGCCAGGGGCTGCAAAGCCGTGCTTGTCGACTCGTTCCGAACCAGATGTGTGTGTGACAGACCGTCCACCTTCGCCATCTTAGCGCGGCTGAACCCAGACATGGTAAGTCCTGCTGCCTGCCTGTCAGAGACTGTGTGCTTTTCTGGCTGTATTTGTGAGGACATCAGTGTTGGTTTGCTTTTTATTTTATCCCAAAGGGCGTCATTGTCCTTGCTCATCAACAGATCCTCCCTCTCTCCCCATTTCTCCTTTAATCTCTGTCTCTAAAAACGCAAAGCTGCATTGTTAGAGCTTATTATAAGAGACATATGCATGTGTGTGTGTGTGGGGGGGGGGGGGGGGGGTACCTATGCTTGTAGTCACTACCGACTAGGATTTAAATCGGTAACTGATCTGACATCATCTAATACCATGTTTTATTGTTTGAGATTGTCAGGAGTGTCTCCATGGTTACCAGACCCCTCGGAGATATTCTGTTTAGCATGTAATTAAATCATCCATGCAACATCCACAAGAAAAAAATTCACAATGGAGGCTGGAGCAGATCCGAGTGGCCTTACAGCAGCAGGAAAATCACAGCCGTGACTCAAACATGGCCCAGTTTTATTGGTGACACGGCAGTGTCTTTGTGTGCAATTTTCATTCTGTGTGATTAGTTATTATTAGACTGTAAAGTGCCTCAGAAGCAGTTTGAGCACTAGTTGCTATGGTGACAGCCTTGGCACAAAGGCTTTCTTAAAGACGCAGCAGGCAGAGTGCTGCTCCTCCTGCTGCCTTGTGGCCTGAAGGATGAATCCTTGCCAGTGGAGAAGCTAAGGAATCAGCTAGAGGATGTGCTTCTGTCTGGTTGCTTCTGGGGGAAAATGGAAATTATACATGTTGGTGAAAGATGACAGAACAATAAAGAAACGTTGTTAACAAGTGCATTTGAATCCACCAAAAGCATGACTTAGATGTAGCTCATGAAGGCAAACAGTCTTTCATGTTCCTAGAACTCCCATCTGAAACAGATCTGAACATGAAGACTATTTAATAAACCTAAATGTCGTCAGTTTCTTCTTACTCAGTTTTTAGCTGAATTCTAGTTAGAGATGTGTGATAGACGGGTTTGGATGATCAAAAGCTAACACTGATTTAGATTGGCACACTGAGCCTGATCACTTTAAAGGTACAGTCTTAGATCATTTTGGGGGGGGAGGGGTGGATCTTGTGTGTGTGTGTGTGTGTGTGTGTGTGTGTGTGTGTGTGTGTGTGTGTGTGTGTGTGTGTGTGTGTGTGTGTGTGTGTGTGTGTGTGTGTGTGTGTGTGCGTGCATGTATGTGTGTGTGCGTGTGTGTGCGTGCGTGCGTGCATGCGTGCGTGCGAGTGTGTGTGAGCGTGTGCGTGTGTGTGTGTGTGTGTGTGTGTGTGTGTGTGTGTTCTGTCTTCTCGATCCCCAGTGAGTTGTGGAGGATGGCTGCTTATACTGAGCCAGGATTCTCTGGAGGTTTCTTCCTGTTAAAAGGGAGTTTTCCTCTCCACTGTCGCTATATGCTTGCTTAGTATGAGGATTGCTGTATAGTCACTGACACTAGTCAGTGACTCGATGCAATTTGCTGGGTTCTTTCTTTCTTTATTGAACATGCATGCAAATCAATAGACAACCCAAAGCATTCAAAAAGAAACCCACACATATGTATATGCATATATACACACATATACACACATACATATATATATATATATATATATATATATATATATATATATATATATATATATATATATATATATATATATATATATATATATATATATATATATATATATATATATATATATATATATACAGGTGCTGGCCAGTAAATTAGAATATCATCAAAAGGTTGAAAATATTTCAGTAATTCCATTCAAAACGTGAAACTTGTACATTATATTCATGCAATGCACACAGACCAATGTATTTCCAATGTTCATTACATTTAAATTTGATATTCATAAGTGACAACTAATGAAAACTCCAAATTTGGTATCTCAAAAAATTAGAATATTCTGAAAAGGCTGAATATAGAAGACACCTGCTGCCACTCTAATCAGCTGATTTACTCAAAACACCTGCAAAGGCCTTTAAAAGGTCCCTCAGTCTTGTTTTGAAGGCACCACAATCATGGGGAAGACTTCTGACTTAACAGCTGTCCAAAAGACAATCATTGACACCTTGCACAAGGAGGGCAAGACACAAAAGGTGATTGCTAAAGAAGCTGGCTGTTCGCAGAGCTCTGTGTCCAAGCACATTAACAGACAGGCGAAGGGACGGAAAAAATGTGGTAGAAAAAAGTGTACAAGCTCTAGGGATAACCGCACCCTGCAGAGAATTGTGACGACAAACCCATTCAAAAATGTGGGGGAGATCCACAAAGAGTGGACTGCAGCTGGAGTCAGCGCTTCAAGAACCACCACGAGGAGACTCATGAAAGACATGGGATTCAGGTGTCGCATTCCGTGTGTCAAGCCACTCTTGAACAAGAAACAGCGCAAGAAGCGTCTCGCCTGGGCCAAGGACAAAAAGGACTGGACTGATGCTGAGTGGTCCAAAGTTATGTTTTCTGATGAAAGCAAGTTCTGCATTTCCTTTGGAAATCAAGGACCCAGAGTCTGGAGGAAGAGCGGAGAAGCACAGAATCCACGTTGCATGAGGTCCAGTGTAAAGTTTCCAACGTCAGTGATGGTGTGGGGTGCCATGTCATCTGCCGGTGTTGGCCCACTCTGTTTCCTGAGGTCCAGGGTCAATGCAGCCGTCTACCAGGAAGTTTTAGAGCACTTCATGCTTCCTGCTGCTGACCAACTTTATGGGGATGCAGACTTCACCTTTCAACAGGACTTGGCACCTGCACACAGTGCCAAAACCACCAGCACCTGGTTCAAGGACCATGGTATCCCTGTCCTTGATTGGCCAGCAAACTCGCCTGACCTTAACCCCATAGAAAATCTATGGGGTATTGTGAAGCGGAGGATGCAATACGCTAGACCCAACAATGCAGAGGAGCTGAAGACGACTATCAGAGCAACCTGGGCTCTCATAACACCTGAGCAGTGCCACAGACTGATCGAGTCCATGCCACGCCGCATTACTGCAGTTATTGAGGCAAAAGGAGCCCCGACTAAGTATTGAGTGCTATACATGCACATTCTTTTCAGTTGGCCAACATTAGAGAAACAAACATTTTTTCATTGGCCTTTAGAATATTCTAATTGTCTGAGATACCAGATTTGATGTTTTCATTGGTTGTCACCTATAAATATCAAAATTAAACGTAATAAACATCGGAAATACATTGGTCTGTGTGCATTGCATGAATATAATGTACAAGTTTCACGTTTTGAATGGAATTACTGAAATATTTTCAACCTTTTGATGATATTCTAATTTACTGGCCAGCACCTGTAAATATACATATACATATATATATATATATATATATACATACACACATGTAGGTTCCTTATATAGGAAACATTATTTCTGATTGGCTTAATGAACTGACCTGAATTGGAATGTTTATTATGTGAAGTGCCTTGAGACGACTCCTGTCGTGATCTGGCGCTATATGAATAAACTTGACTTGAGTTGAATATTGAAATGATCTTCACATAAAAATAGCAACCAATAAATTAAATAATTTGTTTAAAAATATTTATTTTAATTGATTGATTGATTGATTGAAACGTTTATTTGAACATAAGACAAAATATTTTTATAAAATCTATGAACATAGTACAGGGAGTGCAGAATTATTAGGCAAGCTGTATTTTTGAGGAATAATTTTATTATTGAACAACAACCATGTTCTCAATGAACCCAAACAACTCATTAATATCAAAGCTGAATGCTTATGGAAGTCGTTTTTACTTTGTTTTTAGTTGTAGCTATTTTAGGGGGATATGTGTGTGTGCAGGTGACTATTACTGTGCATAATTATTAGGCAACTTAACAAAAAACAAATATATACCATTTCAATTATTTATTTTTACCAGTGAAACCAATATAACATCTCCACATTCACAAATATACATTTCTGACATACAAAAACAAATCAGCGACCAGCATAGCCACCTTTCTTTGCAAGGACACTCAAAAGCCTGCCATCCATGGATTCTGTCAGTGTTTTGATCTGTTCACCATCAACATTGCGTGCAGCATCAACCACAGCCTCCCAGACACGGTTCAGAGAGGTGTACCGTTTTCCCTCCTTGTAAATCTCACATGTGATGATGGACCACAGGTTCTCAATGGGGTTCAGATCAGGTGAACAAGGAGGCCATGTCATTAGTTTTTCTTCTTTTATACCCTTTCTTGCCAGCCACGCTGTGGAGTACTTGGACGCGTGTGATGGAGCGTTGTCCTGCATGAACATCATGTTTTTCTTGAAGGATGCAGACTTCTTCCTGTACCACTGCTTGAAGAAGGTGTCTTCCAGAAACTGGCAGTAGGACTGGGAGTTGAGCTTGACTCCATCCTCAACCCGAAAAGGCCCCACAGGCTCATCTTTGATGATACCAGCCCAAACCAGTACTCCACCTCCACCTTGCTGGCGTCTGAGTGGGACTGGAGCTCTCTGCCCTTTACCAATCCAGCCATGGGCCCATCCATCTGGCCCATCAAGACTCACTCTCATTTCATCAGTCCATAAAACCTTAGAAACATCAGTCTGGAGCTATTTCTTGGCCCAGTCTTGGCGTTTCAGCTTGTGTGTCTTGTTCAGTGGTGGTCGTCTTTCAGCCTTTCTAATGATAAATGACCCGCACTTGTATAGCGCCTCTCAGAGTAAGGACTCCAAAGCGCTTTACAGTACAGTATATCATTCATCCATTCACACACACATTCATACACTGGTGGGGATGAGCTACGATGTAGCCACAGCTGCCCTGGGGCGCACTGACTTACCTTGGCCATGTCTCTGAGTATTGCACACCTTGTGCTTTTGGGCACTCCAGTGATGCTGCAGCTCTGAAATATGGCCAAACTGGTGGCAAGTGGCATCTTGGCAGCTGCACGCTTGACTTTTCTCAGTTCATGGGCAGTTATTTTGCACCTTGGTTTGTCCACACGCTTCTTGCGACCC